TGCACACGCTTGTGTGTCTACAGAGAAATTGCTAAATTTTTGCAGCACTATGTCAGAAGGAAAGAAAATGTAAATTTAATTTTCTTAAGTAATGTTTGTGTGTCTAGTGTAAAAATTTCTTCACTTAAAGTCATACATTTCTAAAGATTTATCCATTATGAAGTTTTTACAATTATAATACAGTACTTGTGTAATCTATAATTTTACCATACAATTTAGGCAAATTGAATTGAATGCATGGTCTTTAACGTATAATTTGATCAATGCTTCAGTAAATATATCAAATAGCATGCTTCAAATGTTGCAGCTGAACAGTTACATGAGGATAGTCAAGCAACATGCTGTGGACCCAGAGTTGGTGAAACAAATATTTAGACAGGTAAATATGTTTCACACAACTGCTTCTTTTTAGAACTTTCTTTTTTTTTTCTGCTTATCTGGTTGTTCAGGTTTGTTTTTTTTTTAATAACTAATGATAGTCAGTTCTTTCTGCTTGCAGTTGCTATTTGTCAATATTGTTCGTCGTACTTGTTACTAATGGATAAACATTTCAGGCAAAATTCATACAATTTTTTAAAACTGTATCGAAACTGTTCCTCAGCTGTTTTATTTCCTGTGTGCTGGCGCACTGAATAACCTACTGCTAAGGAAGGACATGTGTAATTGGTCAAAAGGAATGCAGATAAGGTAATTGGTCTTAAGTTATGGAGTTATGTTTGTGCTGTGCTGATACACAATAATTGTTCCCCCCCATAATTCCTATGATTTGTTGCTGTTAGTTTTGCTATTTTTACTTATTGAATGCAAGTATTGTCCTTGTTGATTTTTTTGCATTCTCTGTTATTGTCACACTTCCTCATTTATTCTTCCATCTTGGGTATCAGGTATAACTTGAGCCACCTAGAGCAGTGGCTCAGGGACAACAATCTCCATGAGTTTGGGGCCCAGGCAGCCCTGGAACCCATCATCCAAGCCTCTCAGCTGTTGCAAGCCCGCAAGACAGACTCGGACGTTGACAGTGTTTGTGATATGTGTTCTAAGCTGACCACAGCTCAGGTAAGATGACTGCAGCATTGTCTTATTTGTTTGTTTTAACCTGTCAGCTAAACGTAAAGAGTGAAGTCCCCTTTCAAACCTTGCGATATGGAGGCTAGATGATGTAAAGTTCATGTTTCTATGGCTGACGATTAACAAGGGCTGTCATGTAGCTAAACTCATAACCAACTGCCTTTACTTTCTTTAACTAATTTCACGTACCCATTAGAGTTGAGTGGATTCAGAGGCGCTCTAAAAATCTAGAAATTCAAAATCTCAGTCTTCACCAAGTGTTTGGAAACCAAGGATTTTACTTCTCCATTCCCCCCCCCCCCCCCCCCCCCCCCCCCCATCCCAAAACCATCAGCTTAAGATCAACTTTATTCTGTACAACTGTTAAACACTGGACTATGTAAAAAAAAACAAAAAGAACAAACAAACTTTGACTTGTGATAGTATAAGATGTTAACTTTCCCCTGAAAATTACAAAGCTATGGTTGGATGACATTGAAAGAAGTAATGTGATTATTATTATATTATTAAATTGTAAAATTCTAATAAAGTCAAAATTTACTTTCTTTTACCAAAGGTGTTTTTTAAAAAAGAACATTAGTGTTTATAAATACCATTATAATTTGGAGTTTGATAGACTAGTGAGCCATAAATATTTTCTTGAAGTGATTTCAATTACCTTTAAAATTACTACAAAAAAACATTGAGAAAAATGATGTATCTGGTTAGGATTGCTGTTAAAATATGAGCATACAAACATTTTAAAGTTATTTTTTGTAAACATTTATATTTTTTAAATTTAAGTGAAAACATAAGATGGATATTTCTTACATTGCTAACCTCCTAACAAGTAATTAGCTTCGACAACTTTTTGAGGTCATACATGGGCCATATCTCATGTTGTAATGGTCAATAATAAAGAAGACATTGTCTTCAAGTCTAAAGATTAGGAAAGTGTTTTAATTGAATTGCACAGACTCAGCTGTAGATAACATGCTTGCTGAGTTGCTTAAGCAAAGTTCAGAATCAAAAAAATTTGTATTGTGTTTTTTATTTTATTTTAAGGCATTAAATAATAATTTTGATAATTTTTTTCTTCTTCGTGTGCAGATTGTTAAAATTCTCAACATTTACACCCCGGTGGATGAGTTTGAGGAGCGAGTGCCAGTGGCGTTCATCCGCAAGATTCAGTCCAAGTTGAAAGAGAGGGAGGAGCAAGGCACCGCTAGCAACACCCTACTTCTAGATACCAAATACTCGTACCCTGTCACATTCCCCTTCAACCCCAGTTCTGTTGCACTGGAGACAATAACAGTTCCAGAACAGTTGCATTTAGGTTTCTTGATAAAACATTAAACAAAAAATGGAAGGGCACAAGACGGGTGGGAGAGGGGTAGCCACTGGGTGTGTTGTTGAATGTGAGGCTGCGATACAATGCTATGGACAGTTTTCTTAGTGGAAAATAGTGTTGTTTTTTTTTAGATATATATATATATATATATAATAGAATTATTTTCTAGCATGTCTCAGTACTGTGTTAAAATGAAAAAAATTTGTAAAGATAATCAAATGTTTTAATATATTTCTTTGTAAAAAAAAAAAAAGAAAAAATTACTTGTATCTGGGTAATAATGTAATTGTGAAACAGAACAACTTGATCAAAGTAAGCAGTTCACCATTAAGCAATGGAACTGATTTGTTCTTCTTTTCTCTGCCATTATAAAAAGACTTGAAATGGATTAGTTGATGATAATTATGCATACATCTTGTGCATTTGTGGTGAGCTATTTCCTTCCAAAACAAATTTTAGTATCTTGTTTGTTTGTTTTTCTGTGAGAAGTCTTTCTTGTGGTGAGCTGACTGACATGGGTTCACTTTGCTTTACTCTGCCTCTTAAAGAGAAGGCAGCTATTCAGTGGAAATAGTAGGGGAGCTAACTTTCAACTGCCCAGGTTGTGGTCTTTTTAAGCCAAAGGCTATCCTCCATTTGACTATGATTATCTTTGTTATGAACAATGTTCAAATCTGATGTAGAATTGACTCAGAAGCTGAACACCTTTTTTTTTTTTGTTTTTTAAGTCAAAGGAAGTCATTGTTTTTTTTGGTCCTGCTTCTCTCCCTTAACCGGCCAACTGGTCTATTCCAAAGTTCAATGTATTCATGTAGAATTCAAATAGAAAAGATTTTGATTTCTCTTACTGCTTATGTTTTTATGTAGTTTTTTTTTCTTCTAATTGGTGGGAGATCAAACTTAAGAAACTCTTTTTATACCCTGACAAAATTGTACAGGATTTTCTTCCCTTCTGTTTAGATTTTCCCAGAGTCCTATGTCCAAAGAAATAAAGTTTATGTTCGCAGCGAGGAAATATAATTTAAACCTGCTACTTCCACTAATATATAACACTAAAGAAAGGAAACTTCTAGTGTAAGAAATAGTTCATGCCACACAGTAACAGAATAGTCCAAGTCTATGTACTTTAGAAGATCAAAAACATGATGGAGATTGAATTATCTCCCATGGGCTGTAAATAAATGAACCATTTGTACCTCAACATTACTTCTTGTTTTTTTGTAGTTTTTTTTTTTTCAAGTTATATTTCAGTTCACTTGTTAAGTTTGACATTTTAATTATTCTCTCCCTTTCCTCCTCGATTTTTGTTTATATAATGGCAGAGAAGCTACTTCCCTTGAATTACAGAAGTGGGGGCAAAGAAAGTCCGAATCTAAACTCAAGTGTGTATTTAGGTGAATGCTTTCTTGTTGTTTTGTTGTTCAGGTCAAGAGCAGGCTATATTTGTTTAAGCACAACATACTGATATTTATTCTCTTACCTATAGACTGGTAGTGTACAAAGAATGTACAAATATTTTGTTTTCTTTTCTTAAAAATTGGATTTAAATCAGTTGTGTCATTTAACTATTTTTTTTTAATTACAGAGAGGAGGAGCTACAAATACATGTCTCATTGGGGTTAGGGTTCTTTAATATTTTTTTTTTTGTTTATATAAAATATGAACACCATTGTTGGATTTTAAAAACAAGGCTTCTTGTAAAAAATAATGTGAACCTATTACAAAAAAAATATGTACGTTGTACTATTTGGATTTTTTTTTTCTTTCTCAAATTGATTTTTCTGTTAAAACCTTAATAAATATTGCAATTATTTATAGAAGGTTCTAAAATTAAATTAAAGTTTAGCCCAAGAACTGTAGCTTCTCTCACCATTCTTTGGTCTTGCCTACAAAGAAAACCAAAATGTAATGCTATTGATGTCTTTCAAGCGGCTAGTTCATTTAGTTCACCGCCGCCTTGGAAAATTAAACCTTATTCTGAATTGTCTGCTGCTCCCCTGTTTCCACTTAACCAACACTGGACACACTTGACTGCCCATGTTGTATGTTGATTTAATTGAAGAGCATGTCGAGGCAAGAAATATGCTCTGTTTCTATTTTTAGTTGCAATTTTTTATTGCTGTTGTTTTCTTTTTTCTTAAAGAAGCAAAAATTACCAAGAACATCAAAATTTTTCATTTTATTCTATCAAACTTTTTTGAATTCATTAAAATAGTTCATTGTTGTTATTGGGTCTTATTGATTATTTTACTTGTAAATTACTGCAACATATTCCACAAAAGCCTTTATAGTTGTTGGTCAATGATTTTTTATTTTTTTTTACTATATGTCCTATTTTGATTTGTGTACAGAGTTGATAATTTTTGGACGTTACTAAAAGGTCTTGTAGACAAGGCTTCATATTGCTTTTACAAATCAGTTCCAATTCAGCCTTGATATGTCTAATAACATTTGGTGTCTTTACACAACCTAGCACCACTTGCTTAGATGGAGCTAACCATAAACTATTATGGTGTTACTGTGTAAATAACTTGGATATAATAAGGAATGACTGTATTTAATGAAATAAAATTGCAATATACCCACCTGGCAAAGATGACTGTGATAAAATTTTGAATGTTTTGGGGTCATATAGTGGGCAAAACTGTGGACTAGAGAAAATTTTGAATGTTTTGGGGTCATATAGTGGGCAAAACTGTGGACTAGAGATTGTTTCTGGCCTGTCATAAAGTATTTTGACTTAAAATTAATCTAGAGTTTATTGACTATTGATGCTAATACAGATACACTTAGTTTGCCCAAAGTTGTTGTTTTTTTAGTTAAAGTCACTATAGCAAATTAAAACCTTTAATATGAACTATTTTTTTTAATGTTAATCATTTAATTTTATCTTGCATTGCATTAGCTATAAAACAAATAGTCATTTTCATTATTGCTTGCTTGCTATAATTTTTTTATTTGTAACGTTGACTGCCCGCATAGTTCACTTATTTGCTGTGTTTAAATGACATTAAATTGGTGTAAGATTGAAGGTAACTCTTCCTTGCTGGACTGTGTCCACCTAAAGAGAATAGGAAATTGAAGACTTTTAGTTTGTGTGCACTGTTTCAATTTTTTTTAAATTTTCTTGTGACTTGTTCAATGTTTTGTTATCAAATTATGATAATAGAAATAGTTTAGACTGTGGTATTATTAAAATTTAGTGTAGCTATTCATAAAACTTAATTATTAGTCTGGTTAAACCTATTCATTCAAGAAATGAATATATTAGCATTAAAGATAAAATTATCGAAACATTGTTTGCTTAATTGTCCAGAAAGTTTAACGACACTTTTGTGTACCAATTAGACTCTAGTCTAGTCTAGTGTTTACATAATTGAAAATATTTGACATCGTCCAGTGTTAACTTAGCTTTATTACTTTAGTTTGTTGCAACTACTTTCTAACATTTATTCCATAAGTTCTTTTTAAATTATCTCACTTTTAGAAGCGTGTATTTTTTATTTATACCGTATCTCATAGCAGTGACTTTATAGTAGAAGATAAAGCTCATGTACTTATTAATTAATGTTAATTAATATTAAGTGTGCATGCACAAGTATGCTTGTGGTTTAATTTGTAACTTATAAGAGAAAAAATTGTGAAAAAAAGTTGCAGGGTTTGCAGAAAAAAAAACACACCATATTTCATATTGTATTTGTAAAATTGTGAACTTAGCTTGTTCAATGTTATTGGCTTATTTATTATAAAGCTGTTTAGCTATAGTTCCTTCAAATCTATCTAGATTATTTTGAGCTTTACTCAGTCAAATGTTATATGTGAATTGTTACATACTCAAAGACCACAGCAGGATAAAACCTCATTCTATTGTACTTTAAGAATGGCCTTGACTAGTTTAGCATTAGAGAAACTATGAAGGTCGAAATTCTCACCAGTTTTTTTTTTTTTTTTAAACTAGATGATATTATAAACTTTGGATATAAATCAAATTAACAGTATTTTGGTCGTGGCTTTTTTTCTTTTAGTTTAATAGGAAAGAATTTGAAGGCAAATGTCAAGTGGTTTGACAACTAAATACTAGATCAATGCTAGGATTAAACAAAAGCAGTGAATGACGAGGCTATTCAAAATAAATATGATATAATGAAGTTTCACTTTGTTATATTCAGTGTCATTCTATTCCTGAATTGAGCCTACATTGTATATATATCTGTACATTCTTTCTGTTTCAAATTTCTTTCCTATTGGAACTTTGTCTTCCCATCATTCCATTGGTCAAGTGTTGTGATCATCTCCTCCTGACCCTCTACGTTGTGCTTTGAACTTTTTTTTTTTTTTACAGTTACATTTTGTTGTACGTAAAGTGTTTTGAAATGTTAACAATATTGTGTAGAGTAGATACTAGAAATGAAGACGTTTAGGTGACTGCAGTGGGAGGTCCAATTTGTTGTTTTTGAAGTGAACATGGTAGTAGTTGATTTTTTAAGTGAAACTGATATAGCCCAAACTTGATTTCTCAAAATTTCAAAACTTTTACTCATTATTTTCATGCTTTTTTTTTAGAACTCCCATATTTATGTGTGTTTGTTTAGCTGTGCTAGATGTCTGTGCTATTTATAAAATGTATGCATACATATATTTATATATAAATAATTTGAACTTGTATGTATTCTTCCATCAAAGCTTGTTTGCTGCTAACTGTATCTATTCTGATTTAATGCATTCAGCTGTATCAATTATAGACTTCAATTGTTGGGGCTGTATTCATTTCTATTCTTACAGTGTTAACATGTTAGAAAGAAATGTCAGAACTTTGTCATGTAGTTCAGTGTTAATGTTTATATTGTCATTCCTACAAACATGTTAGAAATACAACTGTATGCTGTCATTTATTGGCCTTAGTCAAATGTGTATTTTTTTCTCTAGGTTTGTGCACAAAAATTCCTTGTACAAATTAAAATTTTTCTAGGACACCCTCCAGTTTTGAAATTTTACAATTATGAAATGTACAAAGGCAAAAGGGGGGAAGCCAAAATTAACTGTTTTTTTTTTCAATGACTTTGTGAAGGCAAAAGGTTTGACTTTTTGTAGATCTCAATCTGAATGTTGTGATTTGATTGTTACATCGAAGTTTGTTGTTTTAAGTAACATTTCCTGGTTAACACAATGTCATCAACTTAATGCTATTGCTCTGTGTGACAGTATATTTAGTTATACATATTATGTTGGATGCTGGCCTTGTTTGGACCTTGTAGAATCTAAAAATAAACAATTTTAAAACATGGGAACCAGCTCTTGTGTGTTATTCTACTGATGTTTGGATGGCTGCCTTGTCCTGGGGTATGCACGCTGGAATGCCATTAGGTTGTCTCGAAGGTCCATGGTTCACATACTTCCCGCTGTTATCCCCCGTTGTCCTACTGGAAGTTTTAGATTATATTCAACTCTGAGGGAACATCAGAAACATGTAGAACATTTTACAAACAAATATTGTTTACATTTAGAAGTCATTGTTACTGTTAGTAAATTTAGACATGAAAATATGCAAATACTATCAATGAAAAGGATGAATGTGATTGAATCTATAAGTACTGCTTACACTGGTATATGCGTGTAGTTTCATTACTGATTCTGGTCTGCGAATGAAAAACTGAATAATTTTCAAGTCAAATTGGAACTGAATATTTGTAAATAATTCACTAAAAAGAATTGTATATTCCATTCAACTCCTGTGATGAAAATAATAACACATCTTTATTATTGAGGAAATCCATTCTTACTTCCTATCACAATTTCAATCAACCAGTGAAGTTTACATTTAAAAGATGGATTGTTCTCAATGATTTCATTAGGAAGGAAAAAAATAGCTGTCTTTTTTTTAAAATGGGTTTCTCATTTCTCTTCTGATTAGGATTTTAGGTTTTTTTTAATTGTAATGTTCACATCTGTCAATAAACATTGTTAAGTTTTTTTGAGCTGATCTTTCAGTCCACAATTTTGATACTAATTTTTTGGGTCTCAACCTGTGTCATAAAAAGGTTTAAGTTTAAAATCTATACATGGTCATTACTATTCATGTATTTTTTTTTAATTCTGCAAATGTTATTTAAATGTTAAGATCTAACAGAGTGCTTATAACTTAAATGTAAAATTTCCAAATATTTATGTTAACAACAAATGAAACAAGTTAAAATATTTTAATTCTCAAGCTGTAAAACATAAAATTTTATCTCAAACATTAATCCAGACAGTAAATTAACAAAAACACTTCAATAATAAACAATACCTACAAATATGGAATGCAGTCTAAATAACAAACTGAAGCTCATTCCATGGTCACTACAATGTAAAATATGAGAGATCCTACATTGATTCCATTCAAGATAATAACACAGTTTAACAGTAACAAATTTTGTTACAAGTAATTGCACTTCAAATGTTTAACTGACACAAAGACCCATAACCCAGAAACAAAGAAGCTCACTACAGACAACAGGCATGACTTGCACAGTAGCAGTATGATAAAGCAAAATGAGGGACAATCACAATATAAAGGAATTGACAAAAGTAGGGGCAGTAATAATATAAAAATCAATAGAAAATATTAATCGAAAATGAATAATTATGAAGCAAGAGGCTCACACTCAGAAATAAATTTATATAGCAAAACAAATTATTACAGTACAACAACATACAATTTTTCTGCAACCATCCAAGACAACCCTATTTTTAAATGCCAAAAAAGATTAAAAACTTGAGAAATTTACATTCATTTAGTCTATGTCTCACCTTCCTCACACAATCATACATTATCCTACAGATTTAAATAATCACCCATTTATCATAGAACCAATCACCTACAGCTTTATTTTTATATTCCTATTTCTCAAGAGGACATCTAATTCAAATAATGTCAAGTCATAGAGACAATTATTTGAGAAAATGAAACTACCATTTTCTTGAAAACCATACAACAGACTAGATTCATTTTGTACAATAAAAATTCAATTAGCTCTTCCTTAAGTCACTCTCAGGACTCAAAAATTACTTTTACACAACATTAAAAACTTTTGTAATTTTTTTAATCTCTCTTCTGCTTTTTGCTCTGTCCACCAGATGACCGGCAGCAGCAACAAAACATCAGGAGAAATAAAACTGCAGCAACTCCGCCAACACCTGCGATGAAAGCTGTACGGTTCTCTCCATTGAGCTGTTGCTAAAATTAAAATTAGTAACAAATAATTATTGTTGTTATGCTAGGGTGATCCACCTTTTTTTTTTCATTCAAAATATATATTTAGATTTACAAAATCTGACTTCCTAGGACCAGTGAATGGAAACTATACCTTAAGGGGCCCAAAGCTTCAATAATTGTGTAGAGAGTCTTGTAGAAAAAAATAGGTTTCAAAAAGAGTCAGAACTAATTAGCATTTGAAATTGTGTTTATTAGTAGGTAATAAAAAGATGTTTCTTAATACCTGGTACAGTAAAATGCAGGTAACATTGGTGTAGTACATATTTGACCAGCACCAAGCAAGGAAGCAGATTGGTAGGCTTCAAGGGGTGTGTTAATCAATATGTTTTTGACAATTTCTGAACCTGTTGCAACACTCTGGGATTTAGCTAACTCTAATTTAACTAGTTCAAACTAGCAGTTGGCAGTAATTAGGTAAGTTACTGCTCTCATGCCAGGACTGTTAACATGATGATTTAAACCCCTTTACTTTCATTATCCTGTTAGTCCACTAACCACCAAGATTTTTCTGCAAAAATGTAACCATGTTCTATCCAGACAGAATATTCATAATGCAGTGAAAACTAATCATGACTGAGCTCAGCAGTTTCAGTCCAAGATTTAAATAACACCAGCCACAAGATAAATGATACTATCCAGCTATAACCTACAGCTATAATCTTTTTCCACTTGGAACAGAACTTAATAGAATGATGCTAGTGGCCTTAGCTAGCCAAGTGGAAAAGCGTTTGGCTTTAGATCTGATGGGTCACAAGTTCTACTCCTGGTAAAGACTTAATTTTGAACTTATGGATTTTCAAGACATCCCTGAGTCCATCAAACTCCAAAGATTGCCTGTTAGTGAAAGTAAAGGTTGTGCTGGCCATATGACTCTGGTGACAATTGAAATGGATGACTTTTACATCTTCTGCCCCCAATGTCTAAAATAAAAAGCAAGGTGGAGCTACCACTTAAAATACTGTAATCAAAATTTATTGAAAACAAACTTGAGCTAAATATTACAGAAAGCAAATTTTTTAAAATTGCATTTCAATAGTGCATCTTTGATGCTATATCATTCAAAGTGTTCCCTCCAACATGTAAAATGAGAACCAAGAAGAATTCAAAGTATGCTCTGGACCAATATCTTTAGTGGACCAATGAGGGGGGGGGGGGGGGGGGGGGGGGGTATTTAGGAGAAGGTTTCCATTCAGCACAACTGATGCTCAGCAAACACAACTCAGCTTGATGGGTAGACAAGCGATTTATACACTTCAGCCGCACATCCCAGTTATTTATGTAATAATGTAACTCTAACCCCACTATGGCAAAAAGAATTAAATGAATCCTCTTGCAGATCAAGCTTAGCTTGAAAATGCAGGATCTAAATTGACTAATAGTATTCAACAGGTATAAGATTTCAACAAACAGTTCATACCTTTATCAAGTTTGCAATATGCTCTGTCAGATAATCACTGAAAAAAAAAGTAATTATTGATTGTTAATCATGCAATGGCCAAAAATAAACAAAATTAGTAAGATCATAAAAACATCAAAACATAATTTTTAACAATCCTGGAAAAAAATATTTAAAAAAATAAAAAATTCTTTATGCTGAATGTTATTTAAGGAAGAATTTTAATCAACAATTTTTTACTATAACTTAAAATGATATATTTTTTTTACATTTTGATTAGACTAATTTCGATACATAAGTAAGTCGCATGTTACAATTTCTGTATTATAGTGTCATGTGTTTTGATAATTATTGCTTCAGATTTTGTCAGATAAAACACAGACTCCATTTCTTGAAATACACATAAATTGAGTCATTCTTGGTAAGTACAAAGTATGAAGCTAAGTGATGACTATTCGCCAACATTAAACCGAATAAAGTGTCTGGACCTGATGGTATTCCAACTAGATTACTCAAAGAGCTAAGCAATGAGCTAGCACCAGTGTTCAAAATCCTTTTTCAGGCATGTCTTAACCAGGGCAGTGTACCAAGAGACTAGAAAGAAGCGAATGTTACCCCCCTATTTAAAAAAGGAGAAAAATCTGACCCAGGAAACTACAGACCAGTATCAATTACCAGCATCACATTTAAAATCCTAGAACACATAATATGTAGCACTTAGGCAAACATAATGTCCTTACTCCATACCCACATGGGCTGTAGCGCCACTAGGATGAATGGATGGCTTCTGTCCTGTTTATTGAAAGGCCTGGATGAACACATCACTTAATTGAACAAAAGTGTGATCTAGTTAAAGAGGAAATTAAAAAAACAAAAAAAAACTTACAACTTAGACTTAGGTGTCGGGACTACTTCCTGCTTGACATTCTTATAAAAGCCATCAATGAAAGATTTAAATGTAGTCATATCCTGCAAGGGGAAGTCGTATCTGTACATCTTTCCTTGTTTGAAGCTGAAATGAATAAAATAGTTGAATGTGTTTAAGGACAAACTTTGTTTCAAGTCTATTTTAACTGTTTTAATTAAAAATGTTTTGTTTGCTAATTTTTTTAATTTTGACCTGAATATGTATTTCTTCAGTAGTAGGGTGAAGCTGATTAATTTATGACAGCTAGAGATCTATACTAATTACTTACTAAATGATCTCAGAAGTCTATACTTACTAAATGATCTCAGGACATTTGCTAATCTTGAATCTCTCCTCCAGTAAAGGACTCTCAGCCACATTTACTTTGGCTACGTTCATTTTGTTTCTCACTCTGAAGACACAACAAAACATTAAGTCAGACGCTATTATTATTGAGAATATTTACTAACTTCTAATCAGGATACTGCAGAAATACTATTAAAAAAAAACATTTGAAAGGTTCACTGTTATTACTATTATTATTAGGTGATGTAAATAAAACACACTGAAAAAATATTTATTCAAATGATAACTATTCTAACAATACTTTTTTTAAATTGAGAAACAGAAAAAGATAAATTACAATTATTTGGAAAACAGCAAATGAATGATCAACTTCTTTAAACTGTAATTAACCAAACAGCTTTTCAAATTACACCAATTAAAGTTTATATAAATATGTCTTTGTGCTATGTCTATTTAATAGAGGACTATTTTTCTAAGCAATATGTTTTTCAAATCAATTGAAAGGCCTCACAATAAAAATTCTCTAGTTACTTTAAGACATAGTGTACACACATAGATCTGATAAATTTTGACAAATGATAAAGCATGTAAATGGTGCATATTCTAAATGATAAACAAAACTAGACTGAGTGGTTGGACATGAGACCTACCTCACTCCTAAACTTTCTATTGCAGGCAGCACAGTGTCACAGGAATCTTTGTAGCTAGATGTGGCAAGAAACGAAAAACATATATTTTTGAAACAGTACATTGAAAGGTTTTATTATGATCTATTACTACAGTGTTTCCAAAACTTTTTCCTTAACAGAACACTTCGCACATCATAAGTACTTAGCGGAACACATTGCTTAATTTCTAGAGAGATTAATTCATGTGGTGACCTAATAGTTAATTATTCCAATAGTCTTGGAACACCTATTCAAGCCTTGCAGAACATTGGGGTTCCACAGAACACAGTTTGAGAAACACTGTATTACTACATTGATCTAATACAGACAACTTGCTATCATAAGCTTTTCTATAGTGGAATAAATAAAATAAAACAAACATAAAATGAGTATAAGACATTTTGGCGCAGCCAATTCTGTGTGATGGTTTTAGCCACATTACATATTGTTCATTTTATTATGTCTGTTAAAAAAATATATTATATGTTATGTATGTTTGTGTTCAAACTTATTTTTTTATGTGAATAACTATAGTTTTTTTTTTCCCATTACATTTGGGATTTAAGTTTGTTGTGTAATTATTAGGGGTGCACCGGATAGTCCCTCCGGCTTCTGGCGAATATCTGGCATTTTTTACTATCCGGTGCTATTCGGCTCTGGTCGGATATCACTACCGGATAGTAAACCGGATAGTAAAAAATACACCTATTTAATATGCATAAAGTGGACCTCGTTCCATTACTGCCTGTTATAGAATGTATTAATGTTTATATGAAAACAAAATAATGTGCTTAAAAATAGAGCCATTATGAATATGCACCAAACATTGTTTATTATAAAGACAAGGCATGTTAATAA